AAGCATCTATCTTATTTAGGATTTGTGTGTTCTGTTAGTCATGACCCCCTTAAGAAGTTAGGCTTCAAGGTGGGTGGTCTCCCTTACTCATCTATGAACCACTGTCCTTGATGGTCCTGCCTCCTGACCACTCCACCTGATGGCATCTTTTCTGTACCATATTTGCTGGGGACTTAGGAATACAATTTCCTAACTCCACCTCAGCCTTGAACCACCATCATCGCCATCCCTGAGCCTCCAGCAATGCGGGTGTCCTTCTCCCTGTGCTTCTCAGCAGGGATGCTCCAGCATCCACAGACAGCATGGACTCTGCACACTTTCCCTGGAGATGTTTGCTGTTCCATCCACTCTGGCAATGCACTTCTCTGAGATTCTTGACCCTAACTCTTCTACTGCCAGATTTAACCAGCCTAGATTTTCTTTGTCTTACAGTGTGGCTCCAGGAAGCCATCCCTGGAGCACTGCAGTATGTCCAGGGGATCTGGTGTGTGTTGTTCTGGCTTCATTTCTATTACTGTGATAAAATACTCTACCAAAAGCAACTATTATTATTATTTATTACTATCATTATTTATTATTATTGTTGTTGCAACTATTATTATTTATTACTATCATTATTTATTATTATTATTGTTACTATTATTATTTACTGACACATATTTTGAGCTCAGGAATGTTTTCTTTAAATCATCATCATAATTTATGCTTCAGTTAAGACAGTTTTCTTTAATCAACTTCTAACTTGATTTTTCTCAGAAACCCCTGATGCATTTTACATTGTGATCCACCTTAAAGTGCCAGTTTGTGACCTTTAGTTAACAACCACAATGCTAGGTCTCAATTTCAGGGGGTTCATGTTCATGTCTACCAATCTTCCAGCAAGGGGTACCGAGTGAGAAAGGATCCCAGCCATTAAAGAACAAATTCAAGTCTTAAGAATGGGAGGAAGGTGAAAGTAGAGTGGGGGAAAGCTTGGAGATAGAAGAAACAGGTGGCAGAAGAGGCAGAGAGGTGAAGGAAGAGGAAGCTGGTTGAGGGGACAGGAAAGGACGTCCCCAAACCTGCAGCAGCCCACCTCATAACAGAAGTTTTGGAGAGGAAGGAGGGAAAGAGGGATTTTTAAAATATCACTTTGCATTGTTTTTTTTAGTGTAATGATATTGCAAACTTGTTAAAAGTTCATATAAAATACTGTATTTTAGATTTCAGGTTCACACACACACACAGGAGAATATATGTGTGTATGCCTCAGTAGGTTTTGCCTACTTGTTTGTGCAGTCTGCTGAACAGAACAACTCTAGGATATCATGTCTTCTCTTGCTGTTAGTGAAAGTCTGGGAGACCAGGGGCCATAAGTGTGCTGGGAAACAACTGCCTGAGAAAAAGGAGCGAGACTGGGGGCTTGGAGCAGGTCACAGAGATCTCTTCTCAAGAACGTCTTAGGGGTGTGGTCTAACAAGGGGGAATCTGGCATCTGACCCCAACATTGTTGTGTGAAGTCGCACAGTGGCTACACGTATGAGTACTGTGCTCACAAGTGACAGCTCTCCTCCCATGACAATTTGCAGCAAAATTCCAGGAGACTTTTCCTGAATTCTTAGGCTCCATATTGAATTTACCACATGTTCTATGATGCTTCCTTTCCCTGTGTGTTCAGTAGATTTTCATTCCCAGGAGCAGATACTATCTGATATATTTTATTCCTCAACACTTCATAAAAGTCACTAAAAAGTACTTGTGAGATAAATCCTCCTGGTGACACTCTATGCATCTGGGGGTCCTATCACCCTCAGACAATCAAGGATGTCATGGAAAAATGAGGATCTAGAAGCTGGTGGACATCTGGAACAGAGGTTTCTCCTCCTCTTTTGCCCTTCAGAGGGATTCTGGGTGTCACAGAACCAGGGTTCCTATGGCTTCCTGCTCTCACTTTGTACCTCCCCTGCATGTTTCTCTCACAGACGCACACATTCTTAGCTGCAGCTTCACTGTGAAAACTCGTTCCATACATACAGAGTCCATACCACAGTGCTCAGTGGATGAAGTGCTTCTCCACTGTGATAAGGACAACACAAGAAAGGAAGGAAATGCTCCAAAGGAATGTGCAGATTTGTTTCCCAAACTAAAAGACATTGAAGAAGAGTTGAGGAGCCAGCTAGATACCATGGAACGAGAGGGAGACCTGAACGGGGGTAAGTATAGGACAGGACGCAAAGATAGAAGGTGCTAATCAGATGCAGGAAGGGCAGAGCCCACATGGGAAGGGGGCTATGGTTGTATTTGCATGAAGGAACTGAATACTGTTTCAGGCTGGAAGTAATTTCATACCCAATGGATAAGAAATGACAAGCCAGGCAGGAAAGAATACAGTTCCCTGAAGCATGAGGAGAAAGTCTTGACCTTGGAGGGGGTGATGGTTCTGTAAAGGATAGAAGGTGACGGTTTGTGTGTCCTTTGCAGGTGATCACAGCTTGTTGGTCATAGTGGTATCTCTATATAAAGAAGGACAACCCATATATGGCTATTGGAATTTCACCCTTGATGTACACCATTCCTTCGGCTTTAATCGCTTTGATTCAAAGAACAAAAAATGGGCAGTGACTCACAATAAAACCCCAGGTATAGACAAATGGCAGAAAAACACCGAACTAGCACAACATCTAGACACATTCATCAGAGGAGATTCTCGTCGCTGCTTCCTGGAAATCTTACCACAGTCGAAGAAAATAGCAGGTAAGTAGATACATGGGTTATCACAAGTAAACCCCCATATAGTGGGGAAGACATGACAGTAATCTTGAAAATCTAATGATTTCCCTATGTGGATGTCAGCATATGTTCATAATGGAAGATCTGGCAGACTGAGCGAGTGAGTTCTTGGTAGTCTTCCTGCCTGGGAAGCCAGGGGTGACCATGAGGATCTCTCTTCCCATCTCACCTCCCAGTGTTTCTCATTTCTTACAAACCAAGTGCCCAGCCACTGCATGGCTGGCTAATGGACCCCAAGTCTGCATGCATCACTGTAAAGCTCCAGCCCTTTCTTCTTCACTTATAGCTGCCCTTCCACCAGCTCCACATCACTTTGTAAGGATTTGTTATCTTTCTCTGGTGCAATTAAACAGCACCAAATTGCCCTCATATCCAGAACGTTGTAACCACAGTAAATATGTCCTGTGTTTGATGGTTCCACAGACATTTGTTTTCTTTGGTAATGGAATAAACTGCAAAGACGCTGTCCACACAGCTCCACTCCTCTCTCTACTCAGGAATTATAAACAGTTATTACACATGAGCCCCTCGGGCTGCTTGGGGAGAGAAGGTGCTGATGGGGATTTGTTTTAAGCTTTATCTAAAATTTTCCTTATTTGTTTAAAGGACCAACATCAAGGCCTCCAGATATTGGTATTGTTACATCTCCCTCCCAGCTTCCATCTACCATGAACACCACCCAGCTTCCATCTGCCAAGCAGCCCCCCAGTAAGGGAGGATCTGGTGTCACAGCAGCACTCATCTCCATCCCTATCTTCATCATCATCGTCCTGCCTGTCATTATTTACATTTACATGTGTGTGAATAGGAATTCTTCCCAAGGAGGTAAGGAGCAGGCTGGGGTCTCACTCTGGTTCTAGGTAGGGTTAGTCTGCTGAGGACATGGAACAGGTGTCCCACTGGGTATGGGGGATGTGAATTCTGGTCTTCATGCTTCCATAGCAAGGGCCTTACCCACTGAGCCATCTTCCCAGCCTGTTGACTGTCTGGTTACCAGTTCAATATACTGTCTTCTGCTCAGACGATGAGAACTGAATGTAACAAGTTTCATTTAGAACGGAACACCTTACTTACATGCACTCCTGTCCTGGACCTGAGAGGGACCCTTACCCTGTCCTCATCACAAACACAACTGCAAAGGAGTTTTCACACAGTCAACTAGGACTGCCCGTCTACTCTTTCTGCCTCGCTTCCCTCTGTGCACATGCAACTGAGAGGCTGCTGACCCCAGAATGGGTCTGTCTGAGAAGGGCTTGGGTGGTCTGTACTCAAAACCCCCTTCATTTGTCAGGGGTCATGGGACATTTAGGTGCAAATTAATAGGTGACTTGCAGACTTCTCTGTTGGTGTACAGGGCTAATTGCTTTCATACTCATAGTCTGGAGCTTTGAATCTCACTGAAAAATCTTTCCAGACAGAAACCTTCAGCAGCTCATAAACTGTCCCTACAACTGCCACAAACCACAGAGGAAAGAGAGGCCCATGGAGTCAAATGGAGAGTTCCTCAACCAAGCCATCAACATGTTGTCCAAAGAGGATGAACCAAAGACATAGTAGTAAAAGCATTTACTAAACCAGACACACCCAAGAATCAGGAATCTCTTAAAGACAAGCAAAAAAGGGTATAAGAGAACCCTCTTTTCCAGCTGTGACATGGATGCTGCACTGCTGAACTCTCAGCTGCTCTGAGCACTTGCATGATCCCTGCACAAGAGCAGGCCTGTCAGCCTTCCCTTCAGGGAGTGAGAGAGACTCCCAAGTCTCCAGAGTTCCCTGAGAATCTATCTGCAGTTAATGGTGCTGTGAAGTGGAAGAGACAGATTCCCTGTGTTCTGTACCTTCACTTCAGACTATAGGCCTGATCAGTGACTGGATTTGAAAAGATCGTACTTCCCTACATTTCTACAGAGCGACTTTTACACAGCCAGCATCCACACACCCAGGATGACAACAGCTGTACAGACAAAGCCTGCCACACTATTCCCACTGTCTGCTGCTATCAAACCAAGACATGATCGCACAAACCGAATAGGCCTTATGAAAACTGAAGTTGTACCACAGACGTTCACACACACACACACACACACACACACACACACACACACACACACTCTCACCCCAGAAAGGGAACCTCTGACAGAACAGAGTACCAACACCATGAAGGTCCATCTTTGTGGACCACTCGGGTTTTTGGCGGGTTGCTAACAGGGGTGTGGTGAGGAGTTACTTACAGGAGCTGGGATGGATTCACAGCAGCTGCCTCCCTGCAGAGCCCATGTCAGCTCAGGCTGTGACACAGGGAACAGCATAGCAGAAACTGTATAGTTTGCAGGTCTTAGACAGGTCTGGGGTCTTCCCTGAAGCTGCCCAGGGTTTCCTCCTTTTTCAGCCTGGGTGAGTCCCTCTAAAACTTCTGAGTTACTCTTTCTCAATTACAGGAGGTGTTTATTTTATGTTCTAAGCTGTTTGCCCTTATTCTGTTGCTATAAAAGGAAAGACTAAAAGTAGCCACGACCTCCCCACCAAGGCAGAGGACGTTCTCCCACAGACAGATTAAAACAAGCCCAAAGTGTCAACTCTGCAGAGGACCCATGTTGTTTGATTTCCAGTCCCTCCTTTGTTTATAATAAGTGAGATCGTCCTTCGGGTACAAAGTGACTACAGCAAACAGTTTGTTTATGCTTTAAGCTGTCTTTGTTTTCTTAGGAAGACCTTCTTCCCCCAAACCACTTCACAGCTTAACACTTCTGTCTCCAACCAATGAAAAAAAGCAGAAAGGAGAGCAGGGATGTGCAGTACAATTAACAAAAACTCAGAGAGAGTTTAACTTTGTGGGAACTGCAGCCCCGAGTTATGATATCCTTGTCCCCATTTGAGGTGCTTATCTGCAAAAAAAAAAAAAAAAAAAAAAAAAAAAAAAAAAAAAAAAAAAAAAAAAAAAAAAAACCATAATAAATACCCTCTGCTCCTGGAGTGGGGGAAGGGATTTTGAATGCATGGTGACTGTTCTTTAATCCCTGCCAAGGTCAGGTTACAGACCCTTCACAGCCCCCTCCTCATTTGGTGCCATGGTATAAAAGCCAGCCCCAGCAGAACAATAAAGAAGCTGTTCCCCCTAAAACAAAAACAAAAAAACCCTTCTATACCCCTGTATATTCAGGATAGCCCTCGCTTTGCTTTTAGCTTTCCCTCCATTAATTTTCAAGAGCCTGCCCTGCACTATCAGTGGGTCGTTCTCCCACAGGGTATGTCTGCCAGTCCTTCGATTTGTCAAATGTATGTTGCAGCTTGTTTGGATCCACTTGGGCATAAGTTTCCCTCCTTCCATATTGTCCATTATATGATATGGATGATATACTTCTGGCAGCACCAACAAAAGAGGAAAGTTTATTAATGTTTGCAGAGTTATAGACCCTTCTGGAGGGACATGGGTTCATTTTGGTCCCAGAGAAGGTGCAGATGCAGCCCCCTATTCCTATTTGGGCTTTTGAATCCAATCCATCGGGCTTCAGCCTCAGAGGCTGCAGCTGGATTGCTGCCATTTGCAGACCCTCCATGACTGGCAGAGATTATTGGGAGATGTTCAGTTCCTCCCTTTCCATTCCTATGGGAGTTCTTAAGCCCCTTTATGACATGCTTCCTGGGGACCCTTCCCCTGCTTCACACAGTATCATGACTCCGGCAGCAAAAGAAGCCCTATATGCCTTGCTTAATGTTCTTGAGTGAGCACATCTCCTCCGCCTTGATTATGCCTGCCCTTTTTATTTCGTGGTCTTTTCTTCACAATTTTCGCCTACTGGTGTTTTTTGGCAAGGGGGACCCATTTATTGGCTACATTTACCCGCTTCCCCTAAGAAGGTGGTGACTCCATATTATGAAATGGTGCTACAGCTCCTAAGGAAGGCATATGACTTTAGTTTACAAGTTTTTGGCAGGATCCCAAATAAATTTCTGATTCCTTATCAAAAGGAGGAAACAACAAGGCTACAGAGGGTTCAAGATGGATGGACCTTGTTTATCGCCACCACTGGAACCATTTTTGATAACCATTATCCTGATTCCTGTTTAATTTCCTTTTTAAAGAATCATCCTGTTATCTTTTCAAGAATTATTAAAACCTCCCCCCTTAAAAGAGTGTGCTCAGTGTTCACTGATGGTTCTTCCAAGGGCTATGCAGTGGTAGTCTCTGATTCAATTAAAGAAAAGCAGCCCCTAGGTCCAATTTTTGCCCAAGCTACAGAACTCATGGCCTGCCTTATGGCATTTTCCCTTTTCAAGGATCAACCCTTCATTTTGTATACTGATAGTATATATGTGGCAAGGATTTTTGGGCCATTGGAAACCTCGCTATACATATTAACTACCTTCCAGGTTTTCCACCTTTTGGTTCAGCTACAAAGTCTTATATACCAAAGAGTGTTTCCTGCCTTTGTTGGCCACATTCGGGCTCATACTGATCTGCCAGGGCCCTTGGCAGAGGGAAATAAGCTTGATGGTTCCCTCATCTGCCGGTGTTACACTTCAAGGTGCAATGCCTTAATGCTTACCTTAGGGGGCCTTGGAATGATTCTTTTGTAAACTTTACTTACTCTTTGGTACATCAAATTATTGCAATTAATGAAACTTGTGTTAAACCTGTATCTGCTGAGGGATGGTGGAATACCATGGCCCAGATTGGGGGTTGGGTGCAGCAATGGGGAGGTGCCTTATCCCTGGGGATCTTGGGACTAGTAGGGGTGGCAGTAGGCCTGCTCCTCTTAAAACGAGTCCTAAACATCTTCACCCTGACTGAGCTTGTCCACCGTCAGGTGTTACTCAGTCTGACGCATGACTCTCCTGGAAGTCATGAGGTGTGGCTGCAAATGCTGAAAAAATGAGGGTCTTCAAGTATGGGAACCTGTGAGGAGACGCCCCCCCACCTAAGACAGAGCATTGGGGGCCCTATGATGGATAACGGAAGGTATTCCCCTTGCAGGACCTAAGACAGGACCCCTCATTATAAAATAAAGTAGGGGGAATTGTGGGAACAGCAGCCCTGAGTTATGATATCCCTGTCCCCATTTGAGGTGCTTATCTGCAAAGAAAACATAATAAATACCCTCAGCCCCTGGAGTGAGGGAAGGAATTTTGAGTGCATGGTGACTGTTCTTTGATCCCTGCTGGGGTCAAGTTACAGTCCCTTTGCAGCCCCCTCCTCATTTGGCGCCATGGTATAAAAACCAGCCCCAGCAAAACAATAAAGAAGCTGTTCCATGTCAACCTTGTGCTCTGCATATTCGTTCAACCTGGACACCCTTCGCGGATATATTCTTGGACTTCAGGGATGTGCTGGCGTGGCACTTCCCCACCGAAAAAGCTACAACAACCTACAGGTCCAGGCTTTAGCAGCTGCCTAAAGTCACAAGAAGGGGGATAAGGGAAGCCAACCACAGTGCTCTACCCTAATAGAGCCCAGCCTAAGTCAACCTCACAGGCAAACTATTCCAAGTGTGGCCTAAATGGTCATGAGGCACGATAATTGCCCTACGCCTCTGAGGAGGTTATGCCCTAACTGCCAGCAACCTGGACACTGGAAATCACAATGCCCCTGTGTAGGCTTGTCCTCTATGCCATGCCACAGAGGTCCAGCCTCACCAACAGCAGCAAGTGAAACTGTGCCAGCCTTCGAACTTCTCAGCTTTTCAGAGGATTGATGCTGCCCAGACTTGGTTTATCCCATAACCCTATCCAAGGCTAAGGTAAAGCTGCAGGTAGCAGGTAAGTTCATCACTTTTATTCTCACTCGAGCCTTATGTTCCCCTAACCAATTTCAGTTATGGGGGTAAATGGGACCCGTTCCTCCCCACTTAAAACTTTGCCACTGCCCTGCATTCTTGCAGGACAATTTTTTTTCTCTTTCTTTCTTAGTGATACCAGCTTGCCCAGCATCTTTACTGGGTGGAGAAATCCTTAGATGCTTCCCCAAAGCTTTGTTCTGCTTCTTGGAGCCCTTTTTGATCCCACCCATCTCCAAGATCGTGTTTTTCGGGTTCATTCCTCCTGCCAGACGTGTGCCCAGGCCAACCCACAGGGAGCCCTGCCTGCACAGCTTCTCCACACCAACTTCGTGGACACCAAACAGGTGAAGGTTGGCAGGTTGATTTCACTCATATGTTGCAGGCCCATATTTCTGTATGGCACGAGAGCCATTAGCCCGGTCTGAGCTGATCATGTAACTCTGCAGACAAGCTGTCTCTGCCTAACAATAGCCAGGATGTACTGCTCCTAGTTTCTTTTGTTGTAATGTAGATTACCTGAGAAGAGATGTTGGCTGAAACTGATGACTTAAGAGTTAAGAGGTTTGGTGCTTCCTCCCTTTGTAATTTGGAGGATGTCTTATAGAGATGCTAATTCATGTCCTACCTGACTGCTAGATGTGGACATGACCTGAGCCCAGGCACCTGGTTACCTAAAAGACAGCCTAATGTGTTTTCCCGCTCAATTGATGTGATGGTATATAAGGTCTTTGGAGAATAAACGAGAGATCTTTGGAGAGAGATCTTGCCTTTCCATGATGACCGTGTAAGCTGCGTCGGTTTATTCCTCGCGACTCCATTCCAGTCCAGTTAGGGAATCTGTGTTGGACCCACACGGCCCTCAACAATGTCCCTTCTGGGTGTGTCTCACTTCTGGACATCTTGTCTGACTGTGACTTGTCCATAAAACAACCTATTGGGAAAGAGCTCACCTCATGACGTCTGCTTGAGGCCTGATGAGCCTTCTGATAGCCCAGGACCACAGGCTGCTCTCTCCCAGGGCCCAGGACTATGTCAGGAAACACAATGGCATGGAGTGTATTTTCCCTGCTGCAGGTGGGTTAGGCTGGCTCCTGCCCAAGCAAGGTGATTCTCCAATTAGACACTGCCATGAACTCCACCCAGAAGCTGTTTCCTAAGACTGACACCTCAGACTGACAGATTGTCCCAGGTACAGTGAGAGGCAGAGAACTCAGCACTGCTCAATCCAGCAGGCTGGGTGCCTCAGCAGTGGCAATCTGACAGTGAAAGCTGGCAACTGCTGACATAGAGCCATAGCCTGGTCACTAAGAATACCTGTTAGGGTAGCAGTAATAGAGACACTTCCTCTTTGTGGTGACCTGGTCAGAGTCACCCCACTGATGGAGGGTCTTGGAAACACCCCCTCCAAGTGAGATTTCTGGAATTCACTGGCCAGAAAACATAGCCAACTCAAAGAGCTGAGACCCGTGAAAGACACTGTTTCCTTAAGCAAGATGGATGGAACCTGTGGATCCACACCAAGGTTAATCTCTGCCCTATAAGTATAACACACACACACACACACACACAACTATCTCCATATCTGCTAAGACAGTCAGGTTGACAACAGAGACCACCATCACTAACCCTTACAGTTTTGTCCTCGCTGTTTTAACTTATAGTGTCTACTACAGAGTAAACAAAGTCTGGATGCAACACTGACATGAAAAACACACACCACACTACAGATACTACTACAGCCTCCCCCACCCCTGCTCTACTGTACCCTCCTCTCCCAGTAACTCCCGTTCCCTTTTTATATATTCTGGTTCTGCTGTCCTTCTTCATCTCTGCCTTAGACCCTCTCTCCCATTTCCTGGACCTTCTTTTATTTTTCTGGTTTCTCCCCAGACTTACTTCCCATTAGATAACTATATTTAACTTTTAGAAGCTGGGATACACGATGAGTTCAAGGTCATTTAAGATACAAATCTGGGGAGAGGTGAGATTTCTGGAATT